ATATGTAATGGATGAAGTGGTTCCCTGATAAGTCCAGTATCCACCTGGCACCATACATAGTCATTACAATATTATTTACTATATTCCCTATGCTGTACTTTGCAGCCCAGTGACACTTGAATATCCTGAAATTTTTCTTCCCCCACATGCATCTTCCATCACTTCTCACATATTTACGTAACTAGAGGAAAAGGCCCTAAGTGCCAAACATAGAGAGGTCCTTTTCCAACATTGACTCGTGCAAACATCAGAACAACCCATTTTACAGATGAGAAACTGCATCTCAGAGGGGCCATTTGCTCATCCAACCAGTGGGAGGGGAAGCATTCAGCTGAGGTGAGTTCAAAGCCTGCTCCCTCCTGTTCAGCTGGGTGACCTTGAAGGTGTCACTCAACCTCCTTCCGCTGGGGTTTCCTCCCCATCCTCTTAGCATTGGAGTGAAGAAGCACATGAAGAGACAAACGTTAGCTGTGGTCTCAAACATGCCAGGCGGCTGGTAGGCTCTGTGGGTTCAAAGACAACAGGGTTACGCAGATGAGCTCACACTGGCATTCCAAGTCTGGAAGGTTGTGACTTCTTGCGGGCCTATCTCTGAGTCTTTATGCACAAGGGCTTTTGTTCTTTGGCTGAAGGAGGAAGAGGGATGAGTTGTTTTGGAAGGGGTTGAGAAAGAGGTTTAGAGAAGGTCTACAGAGAGGCTGGGGTGCTGTCTGCCCCCTCCCCCCAGCCATGAGTTTAGAGCCTGGAGAGGAACCAGTCCCATAGCTCCACATGCCCGTGGAGGGAGAAATGCACAGGGTGGGAGCATCTCCCTCCCTCCCCTCTTCCCTCTGCTGGCCCAGCAGCCTCAAAGCAGCAGGAACAGTGTCCAGAGCCAAGATGCTCACATCCAGATGACGGACTGACCCTCCCAACCCTAAGCCCCACCCTGGTGTGAAAGAAAAGGCCAGTTGGCACAATCAATAGCTTAGCTATTCAGCGACAAAAACAACCATCCCATTGATCAAAGAGGCGACTTTTCTGCCAAACAGTGGGAATAGTTCAAGTCACATTCTAGTCAATCCTGACTCAATTCTGGGCCAGGAGGTCAAGCTTGGTTCTCCTCTCCCTATTTATGTTGTTCTATCCGTGTGGAGGGGATCATTTCATATCTGCGTGCTCATGTTTGATCAGGACATCATTCTAGGCCTATCGAAGGAATCTATTCTACAGATCATTCATCATGGCTGGAAGAAAACGGATGAGCCCCAGAATAAAAATTGAGGTCTAGCCCCTGAGGGAGGCTTTGGGGCAGAAGACAGAGCTCATGTGGTTGGCTGGCCACCTGTGGCAGCCTTTACATTTCCTAGGCATGTCACTTCTATTCAGATGTCCAGACATTACTAAAGGACTCCTTCAGGACTGCGTTCCAACGTGGGAAGCAGCTTTTGTGTGGTCTTGGGTCCCACTGTGGGGGTGCTGACACTCCCCGTGATGAAATGGTCCCTTGCTTCTTTGCCTGGAAACAACTGTGCCCAGCCCTGGCAGGGTGCAGTTTTCCACCCTCCTTGGTGTGAAATTCTGGAATTTGTTTTGTGTCACTTTGGATCTTGGTGAAACAACATGCAAAGGGAAGATTAATGGAAAAACTCTGCTTCCAACTGCCAGGAAAATATTTCCCCCCTTTCAGCAGGAAAACAAAGAGGAGTGTCAGCTGAGTGGTCTGGACAGAAGTTGTTAATGTTCCCTGGGTTAGAGCAGGCCACTGCTCTACCTTTTTTACTAGGCCCCTCTTCTGGGCAGGACTATGTTTTTTTTTCTCCAAGAGTATCTCATTTGAGAACATGCAATAAATCAAGTCTGTCTGCAGACCCATGAGGGAACAGGGAGGGCTTATTTTTTATTAATCCTCACTCGAGGATATTTTTCCACTGATTTTCAGAGAGAGTGGAAGAGAGAGGGAAAAACAGAGAGAAATATCAATGTGAGGGAAACACATTGATTGGTTGCCTCCAGCATGCACCTGACCAGGCCCCAGGCTGGGGAGGAGCCTGCATCCAAGGTACATGCCCTTGACCGGAATCAAACCTGGGCCCCTTTGGTCTGCAGGCTGACGCTCTATCCACTGAGCCAAACCGTCTAGGGCAACAGGGAGGGCTTATGAGCCAGGATGATGCAACTACTCAGCTGCATGACCTCACACATGATACCTAACCTTTCTGAACTTATACAAAAGGTGAGAGAAGTCCCTTCACTTTGGCGTTTTTCTAAACATTAAATTAAATGTAGTTGTGATGCCCCTGGCACAGGGCAATGCTTTTTAACTGTCTGGTTTGTTTATTTATTTATTTATTTATTTATTTATTTATTTATTTATTTTAAATATACCTTTATTGATTTCAAAGAGGAAGGGAGGGAGACAGAAATATCAATGATGAGAGAGAATCATCGATCAGCTGCCTCCTGCACACCCCCTACAGGGGATCGAGCCCACAACCCCAGCATGTGCCCTCACAACCCCAGCATGTGCTCTTGACCGGAACTGAACCCGGGACCCTTCAGTCCGCAGGCCAATGCTCTATCCACTGAGCCAAACCAGCTAGGGTAAAGTTTGGTTTATTTTAAACATTTTAATGCAGGAGTGTTATGCCTGGGGGAGGGGCAGGGATCCAGTGTATGGTCATTTTGCTTGGCTGGCCTTTTGTCTGGGAGCTGGTCCACAACATTCATTTGATTCTCAAAAAGGGTTCATGACCCCAAAAAATGTTTAAGAACCACAGCAGTTGAATTTGATTTTGACCCATAGTTATAAACCACTGAGCTAAGAATATATTAAGTGTCCACATGTTCCTGGAATCTACTGGGAGCTATTCAAACAAAGGGAACAGGAGGAATCTTTGCCTTTTAGAATTTCGCAATTTAAATATGGGCAAACTTGTAAGTGGATGCACTGACAGAATTATGCCATCTGACAGATGATGTGATGGCTGACTTAGGTGCAGATGTGGATAAATATCAGAAAAATGTGGGGGAGGGAATGCAGAAAAACTTGTTAAATATTTACCAGCTGCTTAAAAGCAATAGCTATTCACTTTCTAATTCTATTTCAACTTTTCTTTTAAGGGTATATCTAACAACCAACCATCAGCGGGCACTTACTACGTGCCAGCTGGTGGGTGTTTATTTTAAATGCTTGATTCCGTTTAATGGTGTGGATGCAAGAATTATCTCTATTTTATGTACGAGGAAACTGATTCAGAGACGTTAGATAACTTGTCCAAGGTTACACAGCTAGTGTGTGGCAATTCTTGTTACAAGTTTTCCTGGGACTAATCCTTGCAAATGTCCTCATTCCATTGGCATCTTTTCCAACTCAGGCCAGTGAGTGCTTCGGTTAGAATGCTTTGGGTTGCGAATGCTAGAAGTCATGTGAATCCTCTGCTTGAGCCATATCTTAATCAATGAGGGACTTCACTTTATCCTATAACAAAGACCCCAGAGGTTCGGCGGGCTCCAGGCTGGCTCCTTTCTCTGTGATTCTTTTGATTCTGCCACCTGCTGTGCTGGCATAAACCGCAGTGGTGAGCAAGATGCCTGAGGAAGTTTTGTTTGTTGGACACAGACTTAGCAATGTCCAGAGGAAGAGCTGGGGGTTCTCTCTTCTCAGGTCTCCTTTTGAGGAGCAAAGAGATATTTCTCAGGAGGCCCAGGAAAATGCCCCCCATGTCTCATTGGCCAGGACATGAACACATGCCTGTTCTAAACCAATAACTGCCACAGGATGACCATGATGGGGTTACCGACCACTGGGGGGTAGAATGGATGTTGGGGCATCAACTCTACAAAGTAGGGTCTTTTAAACAAGAAATTAAGGGGCTAGGCTAACTCCTTGGCCTCTTCTGAATTTTGCCTTAATTTTTTTCATTTGTCTAACAGATATAGCATTTACCTCACAGCCAGTTCTAAGGATTGAATGAGATGGTATTTGTTGCCTCAGGGAAACTGGAGAGTTTGGTAGGACAGTTAAATATTTTTTAAAAATTTGAATCTTCAGCAGACAGGCAAAAAACACAACAAACTTGAAAATAGCTGAGCTGATTCATTTTTAAGGCGGCAGACTGAAAAATCACCCCTGAGACGCCCCATGGCTGCCGTGGGTCCTGTCCTCTCTTGGTCCTGAGGGCTTTCCTAGTGTCCTTTTGTTTCAGGTTGGAGTCTTAGAAAGAGTGTAGAGTTGGGGTTCTTGGCACAGAAATTATTGATGCTCTTAGGAGAATCTACAAGGAAGAGGGGGAAGCAGGCTAGGGCAAAGGAAAGAGCTAAGATGTCATCTCAGCTGGAGTCTAGCTTCAGCCTAGTGGCTGTGGTTGTGAACTGCCCTCCAGAGCAAGTCCTGCCTTGAGGCAAGATGGTTGGCCCATTATGACCCACATATCAATCAGTCATTGGCTATAGGTTGCTGGGAGGTGGAGGAGTTCCATTCTCCCCTCCCCCCTCTCCCCCACCCCCCTTCAGGAGACTCCTGTTGGCACAGGGAAATTTTCTGGAGAAGGGATAGCTATGCACTGCTTGTAACCAACATGCACATGACTGGTGGATGGGTGTGCCAAAGATAACAAGGATCTGAACAGAACACCAACAGCATCTATCACAATTCCCAATATCTTCCTATTCTATTTTAATTAGCCAGTGCTCGTTTCTGTTGCTTGTGATCAACATGCCCTGACTAACGCATTCTGTAAAGGGCTTGGTAGCTATTACTACACTACTACTACTATTGTTGTTAGCCACTGTCCCCAAATCAACTGAGAAGATACATGGGCTTCTAAAGAGTAAGTACATCATCTAGTTCACAAACATGTTATTTGCAATTCCCTAAGGTTTTCTAACCAGATATCGCTTTCCCCCCTGTCTGTGTAAGTATGCCCTTCTCTTTCATTCAAAAATACCCTACAGGCGGAGACACGTGAAGGCCTAGGAGTTGGTGTGGAGTTCATCTCGGTGCGCGTGGCTCCGCTGGGATGGATTCCTCCTTGAGTTTCTCCTCTGTGGGTTTGGGCTCAGTGGACCCGCAGCTGCAGCATTTCATGGAGGCAGAGACTCAGAAGCAGCGCTTCCAGCAGCTGGTGCACCAGATGACGGAAGTTTGTTGGGAGAAGTGCATGAACAAGCCCGGGCCAAAGTTGGACAGTCGGGCTGAGGCCTGTTTTGTGAACTGCGTTGAGCGCTTCATTGATACAAGCCAATTCATCTTGAATCGACTGGAACAGAAATCCAAGTCAGCCTTCTCAGAAAGCCTTTCTGACTGATTTCAGCATTACCCTTTTGGAAAAGGAAGGTAGTTCAAGAATGGTTGAAGAAAAGGCTATGGGGAGATGGGCTCCCACCCCTGGCACTCTTGGAGCATCTGGTCATCTGAGAATGAACAAAGGCCAATATTTTTGTGTGTTTGGGGCTTGGGGGCTGTATGTGTATTTGGTTGTGTGTTTTTTTATTGTTAATCTTGTGAAAACAATTGACATCTGAATGGAAAACTTTTCCTAGATGCATATTACTGTAGTGAGAATATGTTTTTCTGAACATCCCATTAACTGCTTCTTATAATTTGGGTAGTGGAACTGCTTCTTGTAATTTGATAGCGGGACCACCTAGGTAAAATCTGTCATTTGTGTGGATTCGTTTCAGATGCCTAGGGATGTTGATACACATCCTGGTGTCTCTGGGAAAGGGTGGTGATGGGGGAAGACTTGTTTGGTACTTAACTAGTGTTTTGACCATCAGTGCTGGGAAAAAAAATCTATGGGATATTCATACAATACAGCTCAGCTTTCTAAATTATCTCCCTTCCGTATACTATGATTTACTTAAGTGTCTATTTAAAGCAGCGGTTCTCAACCTGTGGGTCACGACCCCTTTGGCGGTCGAACGACCCTTTCACAGGGGTTGCCTAAGACCATCCTGCATATCAGATATTTACATTACGATTCATAACAGTAGCAACATTACAGTTATGAAGTAGCAACAAAAGTAATTTTATGGTTGGGTCACAACATGAGGAACTATATTTAAATGTCCAGAAGGTTGAGAACCACTGATTTAAAGTATGGTCTCAAGGTAGTACAGGCAACCTGAGTATCTAGAGGCCTTTAGTTATAAAGGAATCTAGCCAGTGAGCATAATTCTCATTACTAAAGTACCACGAGGAAGAAGTTAACTAACCCTGTATATCAGGGTCAAAGAAATTCAAAGATGGGCCTAAATATGTTGTAAAGATTTAGGCCTGTCAAAAACTAACAACAGTTTCAGGTAGAGGTGCATGCCTAAGGTTAATCAATCAGTATAGATTCCATTTACTGCATTCTTTTGATCATTGAAATAAAAACATCAAGATATTTTTTAAAATATATTTTATTTTTTACAGTATGGAAGGGAGAGGGATAGAGAGTTAGAAACACCGATGAGAGAGACACATCTATCAGCTGCTTCCTGCACACCCCCTACTGGGGATGTGCCCTCAACCAAGGCACACGCCTTTGACCAGAATTGAACCTGGGACCCTTCACTCCCCAGGCCGACACTCTATCCAGTGAGCCAAACCGGCTAGGGCAAGATTTTTTTTTTTTAAATGCCCTACAGGCTCTCTGCTAAGCAAACCTGAAGATGCATAGTTGAATTACTGTGGCTCAGCCTTTAACGAAAGAGTAGACAAGGAAATGTGAACATAAATATACATATTTGAGATATACGTATCTCAAAAGATTGCAGCACATGCATGACCTAAGAGGGGTACTATGCCTGCAGAGGTTCAGCACACTTCCAGTTGGGGCTCAGTGAAGGCACCAGCAGTGACTACATGGTATTGTGCCTTAACAAATGGATGGAGCTTAGATATTCAGAGAAGGGTCAGTCACGGTGAAGAGAACACCATGAGCAAAGACATCGAGGCATGGAGTTTTATGAGAGTGTCTGGGGAACATCAAGTAGCTTGGCTTGGCGAGCAGCCCTCTGAAAACAGATGTGGCTCTCCTGGGACACCGGTGAGAGGCCCCTGCTCATCTACTGCTGGTCTAGCTGAGAGATACCCATGTCCACTTGTCATGATGGAGGACAAGAAAAGTTCTGTGCGAAAGCCAGGCAGACAAAGACACAGGAGTGTAAGACCTTGGGACAGTGGGAGGGTGAAGGTCTTTCCCGAGGAGGTAATGAATTTGGCCTGTGATGCAAGGGGAAGATCAGGGGTGGCTTTGAACAGGAGGTGAAACCCACAGCAAAGCTGAGAGCTGAGGAAGGAGCTGATTTGTGAGACTAACCAGTACAACCTGCCATGCTGGTAAACTCTCTCCTGGGCATCTGTGGGAGAGCATACCCCCAGGCCCCGAGGTCTAGGGGAAGAGTGTAGTTATGGGACTGAATTTTCATCCATTAAGCTAATGAGAACTCTGTGGTACTAAGGCCCATCAGAACAGTTCCTCGTCTAATGCAGCCAACTAGCATGGCTATTATTACCTCTATGTCCAATGGTGTGTCCCGTAGGCTTTGCCCCAAAACTATTCCATCTGAGAGAATGCGGGCAAACTACTTAGCATCTGAATCTCAGTTCTCACTCAGGTCTCACTTAATAACAGGATTTACTACATAGAATTTGTGAAGATGAAATGAGTTAATACATAGAAGGTGCTTAGCACAGCACACATTGATCTATTTATGTATGAACTCCAAATTCAAGGGAGGCAGCTATGAGCCAGATTGTCAGAAGGATGAGGCACACGTCCCAGGAATGGGGCGTCCTGACAGCCAGCACCAGAGGCCAGCTCCCCACCTGGCCCTGGAGAGCCGAGGTCCCTCCCCCATCAGAGGCATTTTAGCCACACCACCGACCTCACACAGAAACTCCCATCTTGAATCCAGAATGGGGCTTTGCATGCACACAAGGAAGGAAAAAACATTAGTGCCTGTCCTTTCTCAGCACCATCACATCCAGAGCAGCTGCTCCTCTTCAACCGTGTGAGGACGTGGAGTAGCTTTCCTGAAAGGTTTTCTTACAGAGAAAAATCTCTTCTTAGAGGAGAGGCGATAAAATAATAGACGTGGAAACACCTGAAGTGGAAAGGCCTTGGGTATTCAAGGACCCAGGTTGCCAGACAGATGTCCTTAGGGCTGTGGGACGAGCAGAGAGGAGGCGAAGGTGCTGTCACAGGAGGGTTGTCTGTTTGTGCAGCTACAGAGAGGCTCACACTGACATCACTAGTGAAAGGCAAGAGGAAGCAAGAAGGGGGTGCCCATTGTGCTGCTAAGATGAGTGTAATATTGACTGCGGTTGACAAAATTGCTTGCAGCCTCGGAGTCTTGAATCATACGCATGCATAAGCCTCTCTTTCCTGAGGGCTGGGCACTGACCTATTTTGTATGGTCTATTCTTCTCCTGAGATATTTTCCCACTCTTGAGCTGACATACTCCTTGCTAGAGCCCTCCGGGTAATGGGGCATAGGGCACAAATGCCTTCTAAATAAAAGGCATCTTTGCTCTTCTGCACATATGAACTCTCTGGGATTAAAGGGAATTGGTATTTAAAATTTGCATCTCTCTTCTCCTGTCCCAGTCCATCTTCTCAAAGGAGATTCATGTAACTATGGAGGCAGTACCTCCATAAGCAAAGCCCTGCTTGGTGCCATTTGGCCTAGCATAATTATTAACAGGGTCCCCTCCCCCTTTCACTCTCACAAGTGTCCTAGTTTGGCCCATAAATTACACGGTCACCTGTCAGTTTGGGTTCCCTCAGAAGCACACAAGGAGACACGGGTTCATGTACACATAGTTTATTTGGGAAGTGCAGGGAACACACTGCTATGAGAGTAGAGAAGCAAGCCAAGAAAAGGAACACAGCCTCATTAGTGTACTGTTAAGCCAGCTACCACAATGGGCACCGAGAGCTTAATCGGTGGGGTGGGGTGGGGGCGGGGAGAGGAGCTCAGAAATGGTGCAAAATACATGCTTTAGAATTACCCCACCTCAGGGACACAGCAAGAGAGCTGGGGAATTCATACACCAACTCACAAATCAAAGGACTGCTCCTGGGGGCTATTAACTCCTTGCTACTTCTGGCTTGCCTCATGGCAGAGTGGCCTTCTGTGGTTCTGGGGGGGAAAACCCATGGGGGAGGGGAGTCCCACAGAAACAGATGCATATTCCACACTAGGAAGTCAGCAGGAGTCCATTGGAAAGTTCAAGGCACGTGAGTGGCCACCATTAGCATACATCACCTCACCTGGAATTGCTAACATTTGGCTGGCATTCTGCCACATCCAAGTTCATTCAGCAATGACTTCCTGCTCCTCAAATTCAATTCCATAAACTTTCTCATTAACCTTTTTACTGGCTTCTTGTTTCTCTTCACCACTGCTCAACCTCTTCCTCTTTATTGATTACTATCTTTAATATTTTTATTGATTTCAGAAAGGAAGGGAGAGGGAGAGAGAGAAACATCAATGATGAGAGAGAATCATTGATTGGCTGCCTCCTGCATGCCCCTCACTGAGTATTGAGCCCACAACCCGGGCATGTGCCCTTGACCAGAATCAAACCCGGGACCCTTCAGTCCACAGGCTGACGCTCTATCCACTGAGTTAAACCAATTAGGGCTCAACCTCTCCCTCTTTAATCAACTTGCTTACCTGGCTTTTGTGACCCTGAGTTCTCTTAATTACTAATGCTCTTATTGTCCAAGACTCTTTTTGCTTCTTTCCCTTGAGAATTTTCTACATCCATGACTTCAACTGTTATCTCCATGTAGGTGGCTCCCAAATTAATAATATTCTCTTTAAGTCATGAACTGTATCACCCATAGAAAACTCTTTCTCATTGGCTCTTTTTGATTCTGAGTGTTTTATTTTTTTTACTGTAGTTGCATCAGCCATAATTCCTCTCTGGAGATCCACTTCCACATCCTGGCTGCCTGCTCACTGTCTCCATGGATATGTCCTGCGGTAGTTTCAAATTCATCGTGCTCAGAGCCGGTATCCCACTCTTCTTTTATGCTGATCCTCAGCTCTAGAAACACTGGTTTCTTCACTGTCCCCACAGAAGTCTTGTGCCTTCCCACTTCCCATGTGGGCTCATTCAGTAGCTTCTGCCTAAGAGAGGGCAGCTTCCCCACTCCCCTCCACCTATTCCCATAGGACTATGTTTGCAAGTGACATGAGCCCCACTTGACCATCTCTGGGAAAAGGAGAAAATGATGGACACCATGTAACAATAACCTGCAGGACAGACAGGGTTCTGCTGAGTTTCGGAGACAACTGGAACCCGAGT